GTCTAGTACACCGCTTTACGACCGATGGTCTCGGGTTCGATTACTCGCACGGCACAAACATTTGTATACATGAGTATGATTGTTTGTATCGGTCTGGGTGTTTTCTATGTATAATATGTATGTATTTACAAAAAAATATCTATGTATATGTATCAGTTATCTAGTACCCATAACACAAGCTTTAGCTAGCTTAACTTGGGTCTAGATGACGCTGTGTGAATTGTACTGAGATTAATATTATTATTATTTTATACTTGTTGGCATTATGTCGTTTGTGGCCCGAGTCCCTACCAAAATGCAGCCCACCTTTATTGTACATTACTGGCTGAAGGGAGTGGTGTACTGCCACCAGCATGGCAGATTACCATAGTGAGTATGATGACTTCAAAGACAACATCATTATTTTATATTTTATATAAAATAATGATGTTGAATGTTGAATTTATATATGATAGTCCGTAAGGTATATAATAATATGGGTCAATATTAAATGGCCTGACTCAAATAAATAAAAAATTATGAGCGATGTCAACTAACGCAACTCTTGACATGCTCATATTGCAATAGTTGGCTATAGTAGATAGGGCGAACGGGCGTTTATTGTATTAATTAGTTAACGATGCTTCCATAGTGAATGGAACTAAAAAATTTCAATTAATAATAAATATTGATTGAAATTTTTCAATTCCATTTTCGACCTCTCCTTTAACCTGTACGAGTCGTAATATTTTTAATGGTTGATCATGGAATGATGCATCCGCCTGCGCGAACGGTTTACACTGGCGGGGCACCAGTGGAAGATGATAAAAGCAGAAGTCGGGTCAGTAAGCCCATCTTGACAAATTCTCCAAGAATTTATCATGATGGTTTCCAAGGGGAACCGCATGGATGTCAACCTAAAACATTGCTAGCAATGAGGTCAATAGTCCACATTACTAACGATTCATTTCCATCCTGAGTCGTAGTATTAAACCACTACGCCACAATTTAAAAGTAACAAAAGAACAATAATGTTATCAGAAACATTTACAAGACTCTCGGTGTAAATAAAGTGGGTAACAAGATAAGGGACGTGGTTATTTAAAATGTTTCCTTTACACTCTTGTTAATGTACAATACATTGAACAAATATTATTATGTTTGTTTATCATGTCGTATTAAATAAAGCTTATTGCTGAAAGTGTCGACTTTTATGTTGTATAAGCTTTAAACTTTTTTCACTATACAATTGTGTATAATTGTATAACGGAATCTTATACAAAATAGCGATTATTTGTGTTAATTATTAAACAAGGACTTGCACCATTTTTATTAAAATTATTAGTTCGAATACAAGGATATGAAAATTTATCAGATTACGTTAAAAAAATAAACGTTCAACATAAACTTAAATTTTAAGTTTGAACATGTTTATTACGTTCTAACTTTAAATTTAAATGAAGTATGATCGAATTGCAACCACTGTTCGTCCACTGGTAAAAAATATTAAACAAAACAAAATCGAACCGTCTTATTCTAAAATCATCAAACGTCCAATAAATATATTTTAGATATTGCAGAATAAGCTGAACCATTGACCATTTACTGTTTTTGCCGCGCACACTTAAATTCAATTTAATCACACAAATAAAATGATTGATTGATTAATATGTGTGCAAATAAATCATTAGTCTATATTTGTCCTCTTCTTACAAACAATTATCATAATTTGAATTAATCTGCCAAAGCACTGTAATAGTAAAATTAAATTTCAGAATTGTAGGTAAGAACTAACTGTAATTCATCTACGATCATATGTGAAGTAAGTGCATGTTGGTTTCATATCATGTAAAAGAACATATTATAGTTACTATACATACCTTATCAATATTACAATATTTGTTTCTTTATTTGATTCTTATTTCTTAGCATCATAACGGCTCTATCAACGTCATAAAAACTCGCGTAACTAGTAGGTACACGTAGTATTTGAAATGAAGAGAGATAAGACATGGGCTATTTTAACTATTCTACTGATGTTGTCTGCACCTGGCCGTTACAGCTTCACCGAACGATAGGGGACGAGTGCAGATGGCAATCCAACGGAAGGACTTGTGGAGAGGCTGAAGGCCAATTCCTACCTGACGAATACGACTTTATTCTAAGGGCAATGCAAAGGTTCGAAGCTCTACTCATTTCGAAGTAGTTTTGAGCCCCATTTGCATTGGACGGGGGACCGAAGCCACGAGCTAAAGTTAGCGTTAGATTATTTTAACTATACACAGGAAGAAGTTGTGAATAAATGTAAAAGAAATCTGTCACTTTATAACATTATTAGAGCGATGGAAATGTACATAATTTAATTTTATTTACAATTCATGAGTTATGGTAATTTTATTTCGTAGATACATTGTAAGATGGTATAGACACCGCGCCCTTTTTCATTTACTTAACATTATATATTGATGTATTTATTTATTTCGTATATATACTGGACTATCGATCACGACTTCGTCCGCGTCACAACAGTATTTTTTATTTGTTTTATTAATTTATTTATTCTCACAAAAATTTGCATCACGTCACAACAGTAGAATAGAATAGAATAAGAATAGAAAATCATTTATTCAAATAAACTTACATTGAAGCACTTTTGAATAGTCATTACATTTTTTAATCTACCACTCGTTCGGAAAGCTGTCTCATCACAAGAAGAACGAGCAAGAAACTTGCGTGTTGCTCTTTTAAATAATTTATTATTACTTTACATTTTTAAGTTTAAGTGTGTGAATACAAACCACCAATTAGCACTAATTCTATTAAATACTCAAATAGAAATAATATGTTGGTTATATATTCAATAAGAGGAAATCAGTCATAGTGATTAGAGCAGACCAGTCCCTACAAGCAGCACCCGTTCACGAGTATGACGGATGAGCCAGCCATCACTGCGCTCGACCATATTTTAGGGAGCCCAATGACCCGGCCCACCACGCCGCCACAAGTCTGGACATTTTAGTGAGCATGACTACTCAAAACACTAGACTACGTCAAAGCTACTTACAATTGCTATCTGATAGTTATAGTATTCACATTTTACATAAGAATGCATGCGGCAATCAATACAAAAACCGCTACGCTTTCATATTTCTAAAATCAATCAATTAAATCAAGAAAGCAGTAATAACATTAATATCAGTAATGACCCAGGCACTACTCCATCTGTAATGCTAAGTTGCTAATGTAATAGCCCCTTAGTTTTTCTATGCTACTGGAATGGCTACAATACAGTGTGCGTTATGCGTTACTTTATCTTCTCTTCAACTGAAAGTGTTTTGCTCCTTGAGTGATTCTCCACACTGGGCTTTGTACCAGTTTTGTATTGCTGTAGCGCAGGTTTACCCTTATTGAATTGTTATATTATACTTGTCATGTGATGTTATAATTAAGCCTATATGTGTGCACTAACATACAAAAAAAAAACCTATTATCTATCTATCTATCTTATGTGCAACACAGCCTGTTCAGTTGAAGAGAAAATAAAGTAAGGTAATCTTCCTCCAGAATAATAACATATAAAGGTACGTATCACAAAAACCACACGTATCACAAAAAATGGGATATCCGTGATTATACATAACTATTGGTACTTACTAGATCTTGACGTTGTATAAAAAATACACCTCGGAATTTTATTTTTTAATATTATAAATGCGAAAGATTGTTAGTATGGATGGATTGGTGGATGGATGGATGGATGAATAGATGGATGGATTGAGCGATGTTTGTTACTCTTTCATACAAAAATTACTGAAGGGATTTTGATTAAATTTTAAAGTAATATAGCTTATATATCAGAATCACACATAGGCTATATAAACTTAATGCGGGTGAAACCGCGGGCACAGCTAGTCGACTATATGTACAATATTTTGGCGAATTCTTAATTCCAAATACAAACATAAATTAATAAAAACAAAACAATCTAAAAACTCACACCTCAAGTAATAAAACGTGATGCAAATATTGATATTTGATTATTCGTTAGATATTATGATAAGGTCAACATACTATACCTAGCTACTATTTATAAAATTGATCACCACAAAAACAGGTCGGGAAAATATTAATTTACAATATTTTACGGTTCACAGCGGTCGGAATGACCATTACGGAGCGTAAAATTATCATCACTCAGCGTTTCTTATGGTATATCACATCACTAGTATGGGTGTGCGACTTTTTTTTTAAATCAAAATGTCAGCTGTTATATGCAGTTTTATGTTACCGGTTTTAGTTTGTTTATCAACCCAAAGCAATGCAATATTCTTTTGTTCTCTTATTAAAGATGATAGGTATGAATAAATGTTTGTCCTCGGATTGTTATGTCATGTAGGTATTGAATTCGACGGCTGTATGAGCTTAGACTCTTTGCCTTTCCTATAAGTAACTAATCAAAAATAAATTCTACGTGTTTTTGTAGAGCACATTATTTTACATTTTGTTTTATGTACATAGGCATATATATATATCACGACTGTCTCCCATTAAGGTAAGCAGAAACAATGGGCAATGAGTTGTGTAGATAATAATATGGTACTTGATATCTTTGCTTTATCTGGTATTGTTCTCAGTTGTTCTCAGATTCAACCTTGTTTTTGGATCTGTAACTTAAATTTCACTAAATTCCAATAAATTATTTTATTGGAAGTATTAGTAACTTAATGCTTAAATTTATGAATGTTATTTTTTCAGGTGAATCGCTAACATTGAGAAGTATAAATGACTAAATTTAAGGAATTGTAACAACTAGAACATGGTTTTATTTTTAGGTTCCATGAAAAGGCAAAAGGTTTCAGACAATACAGCCATGTGGTGGAACTGTGTAATTAAGTATATAGTTGAAATAGATAAAATTAATTTTGTTAAAAATATTTTTTATATTAATCCTTGTGTCAATATAATTTATTCAAATACAATTATATCTAATATAATTCAGGTAAAACTAAATCTAATCTTACCTTTACGAGGTTGTATCACCGGAACCAGAGATGACAAAACTCACAATTTTCCGAAAAATAATACACGTGATACTGGCACAAAAATATTGAATTCACGATTTGGAAAAAAAATAACAAATGGAAAACTATTCTAAATTCAAACAGCGCGCGAAACCGCAGAAATGTGTCAGTGGCGCGTCGCCGCGGACGGCCTAGGCACAACGCGTGTTCTGAATACTGATAGCTTTGGACATCGAACGAAATTGATTATTTTCGAAAATTTTGGGAGCGGTAGTCTCGCATCGGTGGCGAAGATTTGAATGGCGCGGCGTCGCGCGGTGCCTTCGACTGGCTAACAAGGCGGCAGGACATCGACTTTATAAATTGACTTTGCCCATTACGGCGTAACTGTGCCTGCATAGATTTGGATGGAGCCTTTGACGGCTCGTCAGAGGACATTAATGAAAACAAATTAAAAACGTATCGTTTGTAGTATCTTCGTAGGTGGTAAAGATTGTATCACAAGTGATATATGTGAATGTAGAATTCAATATGTGTCGCCTCAGGCTATAATTGTTTCGGCTACCGGGTGATAAAACTTCAGTTCTGATCCCTTCTGGCAGAGTAAATATATAAATTATGTTTGTAGATTGACTGAAGATCTATAGATATGGGCAAACAACTTAAACGCGTGATTCGTGACAATGATTTCTAAGAATTTCCCTTCAATTTGCATCAAATATTTTTTTTATATAACTGGAAGGGCTAAGATTGTCGGCCCATCTCGCCAATCGGCACCAATATAAGTAGGTATCTAAGAGCACCACAGATATCACATTATCATGTGACGTCCGTAGTACTGGTAGTACTAAGCGCTGCCATTACGTATGACTAATGTTATGCTGTATGTTTACGACAGCTGTTCATTGTCTATGGTTTTAAACATGACATATTACAACTATAATACCTATAACTACGAAGTCTACTATATGATAACTACTCCCAGACTGCATGCCGCACCCACACTACACTGCACCCTGCAATAGTGGTGTGCTGCGGTTCGAAAAAAAAACTGAGAAATATGTTATAAGAATCGGTAAAAACCGGTTTATAAAAAAAAAACTATAAATATTTGAGAATAATGATCTTTTGGTTGTGGCTGGCACTCAATATCAGGACAGTCTTATTTTCTATAACGCCTGTGAAAAATATAAAGGAAATTTATATTTTTTAATGGATAGAATATAATATTGCACTCGCCTGCAGTAATGGTTTACTCTGGCGGGGCACTAGTGGAGGATGACAAGATGAGCATGAGGTCATGTCAGATAGCACATCGTGGCAAGTTCGCCAGCAATTTATCACGATGGTCCAGGTGGAACCACGTGGAAGTCAACCTATCAAGGTACATTGCTAAAACTCCACCAGACAGCTCAATATATGTATTTCCTTTCCATTAGAATAGTGACGCCCTAAGTTAAAACTTAAACTTTCAAAATAAAACTTCACATTAACAATTGGGTTATCAGTCTACATTACTAACAATCTCTTCTCCCCGGTACATATTACTATTATGAATGCATGGGGAAGAAAGGTTATGGAGTGGAGGCCGCGTATGGGTCGACGGAGTGTCGGGCGTCCTGCAAGAGCGACTGACGACATCACGAAGGTGGCCGGGAGTGGATGGATGCGGAAGGCGGAAGAACGCACATGGTGGAAGTCATTAAGAAAGGCCTATATCCAATATTGGATAGACACAGGCTGAAATGATGATGATGATGATAAGTGTCTGTTTGTTGCCTTTTACGATTAAACCAAGTTTAATAATAATAAAAATTCTGGACAATTCACACAGCGCCATTTAGCCCCAAGCTAAGTAGAGCTTGTATCATGTATGCATAGGTACTAGACATAAGTAACAAATAATATATATATTTGTTTTGTAAATACAAACATAATATACATAGAAATCACCATGAAAAACTGAAATTTGATAAAGGTATACTGTATTACGAGCACAGAATATAGGGTACATTTTATCTTAAAGAGAGAGAGAGGCAAAATCGCAGTTTTGCTCATAAGTGTCCAATTTTTATACCGGTTTTTTTTCTCTTAAAACCGGAGAAAAAACCGCAGCCGAAATTTGTCACGGCTGCAAACCACTAACAAGAGACAATCGCGTGTAGGTGCGAATACTAATTGACAATGAACATGTTATGCACTGAGGTCGAAACATGGCGTCAGTGTGTTAGCACCGGGAATTATTTAAATAAAACACAACAACAAAAATCGACTCACTGTAATAATAGTCTGTAATTTTGAAAAATTTGTAAGAAATACCTAATATAGGTATATTCAATAGCTATTAGTATTCAAATAAACTTAATATATTATATAACTGTTTTGATTCTTTTTAAATGATCTAACACTCATTTGAATTGCATTATCAGCAAATAACAATAGGACCTGTTTGTTGATAATTTAAACAAATTACCAGGAACCAATAAAAATGATGAAGCAACAATATCTATCGATTGACAATAGACTAATACCTCATTTTTGAAGACCGTTAAAAAAGTTGTAATAGCAATAAAGATTTTTAAATAATTTTCAACTGAGAAAATTGTATATTTGAGTGTATTTTTGTGAAAATTTCAGAATATCGTACCTAATGTTTCTCAGAATAGAAAATAACATAATTTTTTTAAATAAACTGACATAAAAGCACTTTTGAATAGTTTCTCTGCTTATCAAGGCAAGCGCAAGTTACAACAACTTACATAATAAATTTCAGATTCAGCTTGTTTTTTGTCATCATTCTAGAGGAAAAGATTCTTGACGCACTTATACACTACAGACAGACCACATGTTGAAGTATAATACGACTACCGACGCCTATATACACTTATATAGACACGAATAGTACTATTATACCTTATTCAAACATTCAAAGTAGATAGGTAATATCTCTATGCGCTCACACTCACTCTAAGATCTTTTCAAATTATATATAGAGATAATTTTACCATAGAGCAAGTAAATGATGACGCCTTTATTACAACTCATTCCTACCTATCTATCGGTAGAAAACTAAAATTCCACCCTTTACACTCAGATGATGTGCAGCAGAAATGCAAGTTATACCTTCAGTCGGGTAATTTGGAACGCATTAAAATACGAAAATGACGCAGTCCATTTGCTATCTTTATCATATAATGAAATTTAACATGATCATAGATTGTATCGCGTCATAGATTATCCTTATTCCGGAAAATGTTAACAAAGTTGCGGAAAGTCTATATATTATACAATATGTAGGTATTAAACACAGAAGTAGTAAAAATATATATGTCTCTCTCTGATGAACCAGACTAATTAAATTGATGAAGCTCTGGTGTAAACAAAATCTGAACTCACGACTACTGTAATCTTTAAATAACACCTAAACCACTACGGTATAATCGTCTTGGAAGTAAAATACGTGTAATAATTAAGTAGTTATTATTAATATTTAAAAATAATAACAAAATGAGATATTAAAGCTCATCTTACTGACGCCAATAAATAATCATAATGAATCGACATTTTATAATAATTGGTATCTACCGGTAATACTGGACACTATAAATTTTGAAGGTACAAGTTACAAGTGATATATATGTTTAAGTTATATATAAATAACGGATTTTATTTATACATAACGTTTCAAAACTAAATTGTTTTGTGTATATTTATATAGTACATAAAGTAACATAGTTTTTGGTTTCTTTTATCTTTTAGTATCTCTAGAGTCTGTCAACTATATTATGATTTGTCATAAATGACTACATAGATTTTTTATATACCTAGTCATTATTATTATATATATATCATTAATAATATAGTCCACCCCGGGGTGGATAACTAATAGATAAATTAATCCAAAAAAGATGTTACTTTGTGTATATAAATAGACACAAAACAACTTCATTTTTAAACATTATCATCTACGTAGACTTTTCAAACACTTTCAGTTGAAGGGTGAGCTTTGGCAGTCAGATTACAGGGTAGGCATAGCATCATAGTTCTACGAAGTAACAAAGTCACGGTGTACAGTTAGAAACACAAACACACGGACATTATATGAATTCGAGCCATTCATATGTATAGCTAACAGTAGTAGGTACTTATGATAAGAATGGCCACCAGATATTGACTTTCCAGCTACAAACATAAAAAATGTAAATCTATACAGAATCCCACCAAATTTCTGAGGAAATTCTTTACACATCATAGATGATATACGCATTTCTGTGACGAAAAAAATATTTAAATTTATACTTAGGTGTATGTAGCTTAATCGCTATAATCTTATCGTTTGTACCACGACCGAAGTATATGCAAATTTTAATGGTAGCTTATAATGACCGCTTTATGAGCTTTTATTTTGGAGACAGATTTCTGGAACTTCTACAATCAAGAACGGCAAGTGGATACCACTCCTTTATATTCGTGTCTATGAATATTACTGAGTACATTCATAAATAACAATATGTATGTTTGTATCTATAATATACTTAAAAATAAATATACGTCGGATGTGTATTCTCAAGGCATTTTAGAATCTTTATTCAAATAAACTTAATATATGAACTTTTGAATAGTCACATTTTTGAAGAATAAGCAACAAACTTGTGTTGCTATTTTAAATGAATTTTGTTCTAAGTAAATAAATATTTTGTTGATGTATATTTAGAATAAAATAGGATTAGGCATACGACAATCGACAATATTGTCTTCTTTAGCTTTACAGGACGGTAGGGGTGAGTGCAGTTCACTCCATGGCATTCCAAACTCGCGGAAGGGCTGATGGAGCAGCTGAAGGCCAATTACCACCGACGGATACGACTTTTGTCTGAAGACACCGTTAGCGGTTCGAACCTCGGCTCAGGCCGTCGTAATTTCGATCACCGTGAATTGGACGATCGCAGGCATTGATGAATATTTTCACTAAAATTGAAAGGAAATCTATATAACATTTTAAAAGCAGTACACACAATGATATAAATAAAACAAACACAACTGTGTCTCGTCATAATACATATAATTAAAAGATCTTGCTTCAATATCATCTACCTCAGTAAAACATTACGCATACTCATATTTACAATAATCACAACTCATTTACACAATAATTATAATCACAATTATAAAAATAATCTGAAACAAACGTTACAGTCCAAAATCTACTTCATTTACACAATACGCCGTCATTTGATCAGTATATTACATTGGAAATTTACAATTATATTTACAGTGATACAATACTGCATACAATTATGAGATTTTATACTCTGTTTTTTTTCGTGGTCCTACTAAAACTAAAATGTCCTACTAGGAGTAAAAAAGAAGCGTAACACAATGACAGAAAAAAATGTCAGTTAAAACTTCATTTGTTAGTACATTTAATAAACAATAAATAAGTGCATAGACCATCAGTCTGTGGGAAAAATAACTAGTAGGACTATGGGATATTTGCTTCCCATAGTCCTAGTAAACCAGTGCGTATAATTATTCTACGTGTATACGCAAGACAATTAAAATAACTTAGTAATCTTCTAAATACAAGAGCAATATGGAAGTCAAAAATAAAATATTCAATAATTTCCTCAAAGATAGCATTTTGCGGTTCGCGGTTTCAAGATTTTATTTACTTAACAAGTAGAACAATTAAGTATTGAAAGAGTGAAAGAAAGTAAGCATTACATTGGGCACATCTTCAAGAAGTCTGCTTACCATCTTTCACTGAGCAATAAATATCTGTTACCACTAGTAGGACATTTTGGTAGTACCATGAGAATAGTGATTTTTGTAAAATCACTTCGTCACTGGACATCTACCACGCGTGGTCCGCTACTAGATGCCTAATAACGCATCTACGCATACAACTATAGTCATACAACCATGACAACAAAACATAATTTATCTCATTAGATAAGAATGATAATAAATTTTGAACGACTCTGAAATTATATATTTACATAGAATATGTAACTTTATCACTTAATATTATTGTATACATTCATAACAAATGCATTTATTATTTAATATTGCCTTTGCCACATACGTAAAAAAAAAGTTGCAATGCGCGCGTAAAATTCGACCAATAGGAATGTAGTATTTGAACGCGCGGCAAAATTGTGTGTTAGCAATAATACAAGTAGCTTTTTCTCGTCATTCGCGCAACAAAATAAATTACAATTAATACAGAACTTGACTAGAGATGTGCGTCAAAAACAAATCATTTGAAAAGGGAATGTTTATAATCCTAATTGTCGTACATATTTAAATAACTTGAATACGTAACAAATTGTACATATATTCTTCTATTTTTGTGTGTATCTTTTGAGCATAAGGAATATATTATATTAACTGACAAATAAAATTCGCGGCAAATAACTTCAACAAAATCATAGACAACGCGCACTGTAGATTTCTACGTAAAATTGTCACAGCGAAAGTCATGAGATAAGAATAATGCAGAAATTATTTGCCGATAATTTTCGTCGATTCGTAATGTTTATAGTAATCGTGACAGCTGTATCAATTTTTATCTTCACACCCCATTTGCTTATAGGATAGCCAGAGTGTAGTATGTTAGAAGTACTAATGCAAATTGTAAGTTTGACTAGAACTACCATAACAATACATAAATAAAACTATAAAAGCGTCCGTGGGCAACACAATTTGGCACCAGTTCGATCGGAACAATCTGTCGGGTCGAGATTGTATATTGTCTACATACAATCTGTAGCAATATTATTCAATAGTACTGGCTGCTTAATTTGTTAGGGTCAACCTCAAAATTTAGCTCAGCCGACTCCACACCAACCTATCGGCCAATAAGCTCACATGTGGCAATTTGTTATGACCCAATAAATTCCCCCTAGCAATCAGATGAGAAATTGTATCGTAAATAGATTCAAAGACACCAACCGTGATTTGAGGCAGGTATAAACTCAAAAATGTAGGAGATCTTCTGTAACTAATCTACTATTTTATTTTGATAAATTACTAAAGGGCAAGCATTTTATAAAGACAGTACTAAAAATTTTCTCTGCCTATGAGAACAATTTCCAATTGTTATTAATGTTTTGAACAATATAGTTAGTATATATTTTTTACTCCAATATGTAATGAGTAAACAAATATAATAAAATATAATGTTTCTATATAATATAAATCTATAATTTCATAACATATTACAAAGCAATATGTGACATATAAACATATATAGATCACAGAAAAATTCATATATGTAAGTCAACCGTTTGACTGCAAATATTCACATAAAAACTCAGCATTTATAAATGTCTTGAACCTATAATAAAAAAGCTATCAAAAAACAATTTCATTCGACTGAATAGTTTAAATTGTCTAATATAATAAAAAAAACGTGTAGATAATTATCGTCATTTCATGAATTTTGTGAAAATAAACATCCTTCCCACATTTGTTAATATGTAGTCACTTTTTTACCTTTCACGTTTGGTACAATATAGTTAGTTGGATCGTAACACGAATAATTCTATTGTAAATAATGTATTTACCACACTCGACCTGATGAATATTTAAACATAGTTATATAGTCTAGTCATCTGGTGATAGCAATTTATATTAATATGATTTGAATTTATTAAGAGGCCCAATATTGAAACATACTGTACACATAACCTTGCTCAAAAAATCTCGAAACATCATATAAAATACGTTGCAAAGTACGTTTCGAAGCAAACGAACAAACTGACTGACAGACAAAGTATTAACATACATAAGGTTTGTGGGTGTGTGGCTTAAAGACCATTCTCTAGTCGAAAAATGTATCGTATATATTTAATTTACCCCAAAATTATTCGTGTTATAATCCTATCTAACTAAATCAATAATCACTAAGTTATATACATAAATCAGTGCTCTGAAAAATGGGAGGTTCCCTTATACAATGTAAAGATAAATTCATCTCACAAACAGCGCACATCAAGCACACCCTAGCGTCTGTACTACGTCCACACGTCACTGGTCACAACGCACTCTCACTGTACATCCGGCCAGGCTTATGACGCGCGTCTTTTTAACGTCACTTTACCGCGCGCTAACTGCGATATGTATATCCTAAATCGCTCCAGATTCTGTTTCTTCACCCATATCTGAAAATTAAGATAAACATTATTTAATTATGTGATTTATTAAGTAAATCGTAATCCTAAATAGTACTCATAGTATCATCATCATTTCAGCTCGGAAGACAAACCATCACATCATCATTTCAGCCTACTAAAAGAAGGCCACCCCCAACAAAGAGATAGGTTTTTTTCTTGAAGGTTTCAATATCGTAATGGTTCGGAAATACCATTGCTTGAAGGTGATTCCACAACGTGGTTGTATGTGGCAAAAAGTTAAAATGTTACTCTGTAAGTTTAGCTTACCGCCTCGTCAGTGATGGCGTGTATCTGTCCCGGGAACCTGGCCACCTCCCGACCCTCGACGTAGACGCTCTGTCCGCGGTGGAACCAGCGCCGTTCGTATAACAACTTGCCGTCCTCCACGCGCGTCTCTGACGTATCGTTGGTCTCGCGGACTGGAGAATCGCCTGATGATAAATAAATTATATTACAAATACAACGCCATCTAGTCCCAAATTAAGGAGATATTATTTTGAGTACTATATAACTAATAGAATATAATTAAATATTTATTTATTAATAATATATTTAAAACATTAAATCGAACTCGAACAGCCACATTAAAATATTGAGCCCTTATTTTTTTTATATCCCTGGACGATTCCCACAAAGCCATCTAGTATCAACCTAAGCAGAGCTTGTGTGCCGTGCGAGGAATCGAACCCGCAATCATCGGAAGTAAAGCTACGTACTACACTGCTAAACCAAAGAAACCGTCTGCAGAACAATAAACTTAATTGTTGTTCATTTGTAGAACTAAAATAAAAGAATTTGAATAATGTTTGTTTGCAAATTAAGAACAGAATAATTATGTAATGCATTCAAATGTTTTAAGAGTTACAATCAATTTTAGAATAGAAATAAAAATAATAAACATACAACTGGTGGAATTGAGGTGCTTCCTGGGCGGCGCGGAGTTGTGTGAGGGCGCGTGGTGGCGCGGCGGCGGCGAGTGCCTCGATATCGCGCGCAGGTCTGCATCGATGTCCTTGTCGTCCAGTTGGAACGTCAGCGTCGTGGCGAGGGGCTTCCGCCGCTTCTCCGGCGCTGGAGCGGGCTCATTCGCGCGCCGCCGTAGTATACGCTTCATTACTGGTTTCACCTGTATTTAAACATATAATTACATACTTGAGCAAATTAGGAAAATATTACGGAAGCTGACAAAAAAATATACCATATATAGTAATAACCCAGAACAATTCATATAGCCTTTACAGCTTCAGTGAACGATAGGGGGCTAGTGCAAATGATACTCCAAACCCGCCGAAGGACTTATGGAGCGGCTGAAAGTCAACTCCCGCCTGATGGATATTACATTAATCTGAGGGCACCACTAGGGTGTTCAAACCTCGTTTCAGGCCGTCGTAATTGCATTCCCCGTTTGAATTACACGGGTATCTATTGGAGAAAAGTATTACTGATATGACTCATCAACACACTACAATTATAATATGGTTTTATATTAAAAAAAAATATTTTACTCACCTCCATAGAGTCTCCATTAAGCTCCATATTCTGTCGTTCATTCTCTATCAATCTGCGCTTGTCTTCAAAATCACTCAGCAAGTTTTCTCTCAGTTCTATTTTCTTCTCCTCAAACTCTTTTGCTGCTGCTTTCTTCTCTGCTATGTATTCTCTCTCTACTACATCAAACATGTGATCCCTGTGAAACAAACATAAGTTAGACACCATAATATGTAATAGGAATTACAGTTATATCTATGAATATTTCTGGCATTATGTTTATTATATGGCATTATTGTTAACTTTCTTAGTATTTGGCAAATAAAATTATTAAAATGAATGCCATCTATTGATGATGGGCAGACAACAGTATTTACATAACGCCGTATAGTATATTATTGATAAAAATAAAATAGTAAGTGGCATATTGAAAGTATTTACAGAATTACTTCCCACTTTCTAAGTTTTAGCTTATATGTGGGCTATAACTAACTACATATTCTGTGAAGCAGCTGATTATGTGAGTAATACAATATGAAGGCTACATTAATATTTAATAGAAAATAAATAAATAAAATAGTAACAGACAGCAATAAATAACTTCAGAACTTACTTATATATTCTGTTGAGTCGTAACCTCTCATGCAACTGATGTTCCAACCTCTTCACCCTCCGAAGGAACTCAGGGTGGATCCCATCCTCTAGCTGTTGCAGCTGTTTCTTTAAGGTCGCCAATTTACCTTGGTACATCCTGAAAATTTTACAATTAATTATTATGTGATTTTCCATCTTGTAGGAGCAATTTGTATGGTTTCAGAGGACCTTATTCTCACATACAATTTGATTTTAGAATAAACTACGTGCTGAGGGTTTCTCTAGATACTATGTGTGGTTTGTCAATTTAGGTTGTTAACGCACAGTGCATGTGAAAAATAAATGTCATAAAAAATTATACCCCCATATTTAGGTACAATATCCTAAATTACTTAATATTATTTCACTTCGACACCATACATATTACCACTGCCAAATTAGGCTAGTAGCAAATGCTACAGGTGCCGTGCATTTAAGAGTCCTACACTTGGTCAGAACAATGTAACAAAAAAAGTTTTAAGAACTTTTAAATATTTTTATTTTTGGTGCCTCTTAAAATTATTTACTACAGACTGCTGGCTCAACCAGGCACTGCATATCAAATTAAACCCAAAACTAATACACTTACTGTTCCTTAATTTCAAGTGGTTCATCATTCTTAGGCACATCTGTTTCACTGGCCTCTTCAGTATCTGAAAAAAAAATGTTTTTTAATTGTCTACTCAACACATTTCCATTTTGAAATAAAAGGAAACATAATCATGTGATATCTATGATTGTATATTTCCATTCATAAATATTTTGGACTAGTACAAAATATCTCCTTTGAAAAGTACATTCTTTCAATTCTTATCCCTGGTGGGACTAGGCAGCAAACTCTAAAGAAAAAGCAAGCGCAATAGATCTATGAAGGTTGCATTACTGCTTGGTCTAAAGTATAGAGTAATAGCCTAAAACCATTAAAAAAAACAAAATAACAGTTTTGTCTATGTTCACACAATAACATAATATGCTTATATCACTCTGAAATAATGTACCTTTCAAATGGTGAGAGAATTTATAAAAAACTAGTGCAGTGGTTTCTATCCTCTTAATAAACTCTGCTCCCTCTTTATAATATTAATATCGGAGCAAATATGACAGAATTATTATGCAGTTATTGGTAGCAAAGTATCAATTATAATCATACTACATTAATAACCCTGAACAATGGATTCAATAACATCTAGTCCCAAGCTATGCAGAGCTTACATTATGGATACTATGACAACTGATAGAAATACTTAGATATATGTTTTTTAGTAAATGTATGTACATACATAGATAACGCCCAGACCAATCATACTCATGAATACAAGTGTTCACAACATGTGAGGAATCGAACCCACTACAATTGGAAGTTAAGTGGCGTGCTAAACCTCTAAATCAAGGCCAATCAATCACCAAGGCTATCAATAAATAAATATATAAAGTTAACAACTACATAATCATATACTATTTAAGCTCAAAATTCACCAATTAACTGGAATAACAAGATTCAACATGTGAAAAATTATGTAGCAAAAAGTTTAAGATAGGAAAATGTGTTTCATCAACTGGAAATAGTATAAGGACAGGAGGGTGATGCTGATAGCGATGACATGCTGTGTGTAAATTATTGAATACTGCTAGAATATTTAATTTGAATTATTTGAAGTTAATATTTACATAAAAGTAATAATATGCTATGACTAGAAGATATACTATGGACTATGCTGCTCATCAAAGTGAAACAATGATATGATCATTTTGACATCAGGATACAGTTAGATTACAAAAGATTTACACAATTCTTTACCATCAAACATAAAATGTAAATCTATGGAAGTCTATGTGAGCTCCACATGTTCTGTATTGAATTGTTGTCAAGATGACAACTAAAATAGTTTTATGGCAATATGGTGGTGAAAGTGATACACAAACAAACTAATTACGTCACATAATCAGGTGATAATGAAATAGGCGGGAAGACAATGTCTAGGTAACAATGACGAACATCATAACCTATGAATATTACATAACGTTTATTTACAACCGACACGGGACTTGACCATTAACGAAAAACAGGTTTTAGTGAAATTGACCGAAATACAAAGCTAAAACAGGCCTGTAACCACAACCGTAAACAAAGCATACCTTCATCACTGTCGTCCAGCAGGGGCGGTGGCAAAGCGTCTTCCTGATCCCTATACTCATCCAAGTCGTCGTACCCATCGTCCTCGAAGTCATATTCATCTCCCGGACCCGAATATAGTGATCCTTGGTAAGACATAGTCGAGGCGACGCGTAACAGTTGCATACAGATTGACTATGATCACCGTCTCAGAAACAAACTCTGGACACGCGGGCTTCAGTTAATGATCCAAACAACAAATACAATATACCAGTTGTGTCACTCATATAAAGAAATTCTAATAAAACTTATGCGATATGACTGAACAACGAAACTGGAGCAAGGAAATTGAAGTTGTTTTACGTCAAACTGCACAAAAAGCATCATATTATACTACCAAAATATATTGAAATGTAATAGACAAGTCTGATGCTTGTGGTTAAGGCGTTCTATATAAATAAGAAAGAGAAAACCTATGTTTTTTTATAGCACAAGTGACTGTCATAAATTGATAGGGTAAATAATAATTTCACCATAGACAAATATTCATTTTTTTTTAAAGTATATTCGAATACTGTTAAAATCGAATAGTATAGCCTATAATTGATTCAGAATTGAAATAATATTGCCATTATTGTCAATTCGTAGTTAACATATATGTATATATATATATATATATATATATATATATATATATATATATATATATATATATATATATATATATACATAATAATATAGATACTATCATAAATTAAATAATCGTCCTTCTATTTCTCTCACCAGCACAATATAATCTTCTTTTTGTATGTAATATGAAATATGGAAACGTAGGGTGGGTAGGGAATATATACAAATATACCATCGTTAAGAGATGTATCAAGTCATCCTCAAGGCTGATCAGTCAGATCAGTGAGAGATAGAATTAAGCACACAAGTACCTGTTCTTAAAATATTTGTACGCCCACTCTTTTTGTTAAAAACAGATGAGAAATTATGATACATTCTTATTTGTCTTTTTTATATTATTTGTCAAAAAATATAGTAAAACACACTAACATATTAAAAAAAATAATAAACTAATTATTTTAACTATTCCATTAAATAAAAAATTGGATTGTATTCATGTAATAATAATATGCATTTTTTAAAACCCCTACTACTCACTGACATATTTTGCTATGGCCACATTATTCGAATTAAATCGATGTAATGCTCGATTTGACTTTATTCATTCAATCAAAAAGTTTGACTTTGTCTATTATTATGATTTGACGTCATGTTAGTGGACGTCATCTTGAATGAGAATTTTATTTTATTATTTATTTTTTTAAATTAAACACGATAACGTGAAGTTGTATTTTGTTAGTATTATTATAATAGTACCTAAATTGGAATAAAACAACCATAGTATTTTTCTTTAAATGAATGATAACGGTACTGCAGTGAATGTGACGCTATACGCTTTTGTGTCGGTGATGTAATTTATGTGATTGGGTGGCTTCCTAGTGTTACTACTATAATGGAGGAATCCTCATTCACAATCCCAGCTGACGACAATGGTGATTCTGAGCTCGATCCTAGAATACAGGTCAGTGAGTGACAGTATAATGTATTGAAATTATATATAACGAATGCCTTTGTAACTGCAAAGATGAGTGTCAACTTTGTAGATTATTTCGCCAACGAGCATAATGGATACGATATTTTATATCAAAACATGAAATACGGACTCATTGCCAGCAAAGAACTCTCCGAGTATTTTAGAGAGAGATCCAATGTTGAAGAAACAAATTCTAAATTATTAAGTAAGCTAGCTAAGCAGGCGAATAGTAATTGCGCACAGGGTACTTTCGCGCCGTTTTGGGGTGTTCTTAAATGCTCAGCAGAGAAACTGTCTAATTTACATCAGCATATGTTCCAGAAAGTGAGTGAATTGGTCAAAGATGTTGCTCGCTATGCAGATGAGCTACATAAAAAGCATAAGGCAGTTAAAGACTCTGAATCAAATACACTAGAAGTGGTATTACTTATCCAAAACACTAAACAAGCCCTTCAAAAGGCTAAAGATGTGTATACAACTAAGGCTAGTGAATTGGAGAAACTCAAGAAAGATAATGCCTCCACAAAAGACACTGAGAAGGCAGAGGTTAAATTGAAGAAACTACATGAGGAATATAGGCAACTTGCTGAAAAATATAATCTAGTGAAACAGGACTTCGAAAAGAAAATGACACAGACATGTAAACATTTTCAGGATGTTGAAGAGGCCCATTTAAAACAAATGAAACAATTTGTGAATGTTTATGCTGATATTATACAGAATAACCATGATCTTATGGGTCAAGTTCACAGAGACTTCAAACACCAGTGTCTTGAGTTAACAGTAGAAAGATTATTGGAACAGTTTCTAATAGAAAAATACAATGCAATAGAAAAGGCAAATTTAGTTGAATTACCTCCATCATTACCTAAGCCAGGTTCAGCCAACAACTCTATATCAGAAGCAGATCAAATCTCTACTGTATCTAATGGCTCGCACAAGCCAACACCACCAACCAAAGCACCCAAAAAAGAACCCTCATTTGCTAGCAAAACTTCTAGGAGAACTACCTCCCTTTTAAACTTATTCACACCTAATTTTCAAAGTAAAGATGAACCTAGTGGCAGCATAGAAGGAGCTGCCCCATGCTCTGCTCCTTCCAGCCCAAGTGGTACACCAGCTACTCCTGTAGCACCTGATAAAGATGAAAACATGGGTCGCACCACTTTACGCGAGTCAAAGTGGTTTCTACGCAGCAGAAGAACAAAAACCAAACTGAAAAAGTCAAAGAAAAAGAAAGATGAGATATCAGAAAATTCTAATGCAGGTGATAAGTCTGACCTAGAAGAAAAAGAAGAGGAAGTTCAAGCAAAAGATGACCTAAATTCACCAGAAGTTGATGAAGAAGGTTACTGTATCAGACCAAAAGATGAGAAAGGTAGTGTATATTCATCAACTGACTCTGATTCAGATGAAGAAAGAGATCGTAAAATTCATGTGGAAATAAAACCAATAAGTAATGGTGGTGGACCCATGTCAGCCAGTGTAGATGAGCTCAGGGCTACTGTAGAAAATATTTCCCTGTATAAAATTGGCACAACAAGGCGTGGTTCGAATGCCAATGCCAATAAAGCCAGTAGTGATTTACTAGACCTTAACTTTTTCCAAAGCCCCTCTGCTAGCAATCCTACTTCTCCACACGGAAATATATCAAATCCATATGCCCCACTACAAACTAACCAATCACATCTACTTGAAAGTCCAACTCCGGTTTCAACTGCTGATGTCGGCGATCTATTCTCTGAGGTTGGCGAGATGACTCAATCGAATTTTCGTACATCTACGCCAACAACTAATACTATTTCACTTCCACGACCACCGTCAAGACGCTCAGAAGGTGATTTCCGAACCGCCGGTTCCTCAGGCTCTAGAGGACCTTCCCCTCTTACTATAGGAATGGCCGATACTATACCGTTAGCAGTAGCGTTCCATGAAATTATACACGCATATTTCCGAGGTACAGAGGAATCTAAATGTCAGGTGAAAATGTCGGGGGATATGATGCTTTCCTTCCCCACTGGTATAGTAGGCGTACTAGCAAACAATCCTAATCCAGCGAAGCTTTGCTTCCGTTTGAAAAATATACATAGATTAGATAATGTATTGCCGAATAAACAGCTGATTAGTATCAACGCGCTAATGTCGACGCGTGATGCGACCGTCGTCGAGTTCAATATGCCGGCGTTAACTTCTCTCCTGAAACGTCAATCGGAAAAGAATCCCACCGCTCAGTACTTCAATGTAGACATATTGAAATATCAGATACGACCAAAGGCCGGCGCCGCGTCGTGTCCGTACCAACTGGTGTCTTATTGGAAGTGTGAGAGAGACCACACAGATCTTAAAGTGGATTATAAGTACAATCTACATGCTATGAGTCCGCCATCGCCGTTACTAAACGTGTCTGTCTGTGTGCCAATGGACGGCGCCGTCAAAAATGTCATTGCGATGCCCAAAAACACTTGGAACCCCGAGAATGATCAAGCTCTATGGCGTTTCACAGAATTATCGCAGCATTCTGAAGACAGAGGCGTAGGGTCATTGAGGGCACGTTTTGAATTAAATGATGGCCCCTCAACGAAAGGAACTATATCTGCACAGTTCAACTGCGAGGGTGCAACACTGTCTGGCATTGAGTTTGAACTTATAGGCGCTGGCTATAGACTGTCTCTTGTGAAACGTCGTTTTGTCTCTGGCAAATATATTTGTGATAGTGAGGTGCACTGATTGGTCCAAATCATTAATTCACATGTAGATATTTCATTAATATCTAATTATGTATGAAGTAGTACACATTTATAAGTGTATAAGTATGTTTGGTACCATAATAGGACTGTTTCCTGTCCAAAAATTTAATTATTTGCAACTAAGTTTGTCAATTTTCTTATTATTAGTACAGTACATGTTATAATAAATTTGATGTTATTAGAAATATATTCACAGCATTACTAACTTATTTTTCAGATTAGAAATGTGCCATGTTTAAAGTTTTATATATGAAATAATCACATTCTTTTAAATTTAACAGAAGTAATTCTGAGATTAAACATTAATTTTAATTAAGATATGTAATATTAAAAATTTAACATCACATTTTGTTTACTCTAGTTTTAGCATTATTGTGAATTTTCATATTTTCCAGAATCTATTGAACAATTTTCAATATTTTAGAATCATTAATAAGTGTTACATGATATACTTCCAAATTTTTCTATGCTATCATCAGTCTACATTTTGTTCTACTAAGAATCTATTTGAATAATTACATTTTAGTTTCTTACCAAACAATGCTTTTTTTAATAATTATATCATCACAATAATTTGAAAATTGTTTATTTGATTTTGAAAAGGAAATAATGTTTATTTTGCCTGCATTTGGTATAAACACTCTTAAGTAGGGTTATATTTGAGGTACCTATTCTTAATTTTTATGAAGATTTATACCAAGTTCCGATTTAGTATTTTTCACAAAATTATGAGTTTCGTTTTTACATGTAGCAAAACAAATTTTATTTAAAAAAAATCTTGTTTCTAAACTATTTTACATATTTTTATCATTTTTGTCATCAAATAATGGCAACCATGATATTGCAAATATTATTTTGTTTCCACATTACATTTTTGATATATGTACATCAATTATGTTTTATATATTTGAATTTAGCTTGTAGTATTATTGATAATTCTATATTGGGCCTAAATTTGCAATAAATATATCCTACTGAAGGCCAGGACCATGATGGTCAGCATTCTTGGTTGCTGTCGATCATGCAATACCATACCATCTTTGGGGTTAATGGAATCTCTGCTAATGCTGTTGGTATACTTATTTTAATTTGGTATGAGTGACATAACTATGTTGGTAGCTTAGGGGCCAAACATTAATTACTCCCCACGTGTTGGGAGGAGGGGAGGAGGGAGGTTGAGAAATTGTGACATTGTGTGACAACACGGGGGTCGGTAAACTTTGTGACGTGACATTTAAAAATCGAATATATTTAAGTATTAAAACACCAACTTTATATGTATTAAAGAAAATAGTCTAATTTTTTTAAATATGTGGCGTCACACTTGTAGTTCCACAAATGTGACCAACGGTTACAAGACGGGTTCAAATTGATAAAATTCGTGCGGCGTAATTTGTGCTTGGCCCCTTATGTAGGTTAATATAATGTATTCAGTTAGCATTTAGTGATTGTTTCAATCAGCAGCTTTGCTTGTAAGCTAATTCAGGAGTGAAATTTCAGGGTATAGACCTTTGTCACACCTTTGTCCTCTGGAATGGCAACGCGTGAGCGGTACCACATGCGTCACATGAAGACGTAATTTTCATAGTGCTATTCATGTAATAACAGGTTGGCATTAGCTACAACGTGGGCCGTTAGGTAGATTGCCATTCTAGGTACATAAAAAGAGTTTTTTTTTTATTTTATCCCTACTACTGTTACAGGAGGTCTCTACCTCGTTACTATAGATTTTACTCATTAGTAATCTCATGTAATATTGAAATAACATATTATAGTCATTATATGTACGTATATTAAGAGTCGAATTTCCTTAAAAGCCTCTCGGCCTAATAAACTAATGGAGTACCTACGTTGTATAAATATTTAAATAGCTAAGGCAGGTTTTTCATGGGACGATTTGATGTAACATGCATATATTATTTATGACAGTAATTTTTATCCTCATTATCCGTAAAAGAACTCAAATGCTAATAATATATTTTAGATGTTGAAATGATTCATTTTCTTTCAAGATGTTTTTTTGAAAGACATATACATACATACATTAAAAGTAGATGTGGGAAGTTTTAATAGTTATGAATAAAGGGACTAATAGTTACAATAAAAGAATTAGAGCCCTTGATAAATTATATTTATTAAGATTTCATATTTGTAGAATTTTCAAATCGCATCGCATCGAATCGTCCAGTGAGAAATCGATAGTACCTACATAACTTTACCAAAAGTGAAGTGTTCATAAAATAAACAGTGTCTAATTTAATATAAATATAGGTCAAACAATTAAACAATATAGGTCAAAAAAAATATAATTTTAATTAAATAAAATCATTCCATTACCTTCTATTATATATATAAATATTTAATATATTGTTTTTTAACACGAATTATATTTTTTTTTATATAAATTATATTAAGTTTGCCAGTGATTGTGTTTCTGTATTCGATCGTGTCTTATCTTTTATGTAATTCAAAGAAAATTAGTGATAAAATGTACGGAATGATAACTGAATGCGTAAAAAAGTATTTTTGTATTGTAAAATTTATCGCATGTATATTCTATACTGTAACTATTACATTCGTGGTGAATAAATTTAAAATGTAATTTTAGCTGGAATTTTTCTTCTATCCGTACACACAATTATACCGAGATTGAGAATAAGTAAGTAATGTTATTATTAAGTAGTTGCTTTTAATTTAAGGGACAGGAAACAATTCTAAAGGTACAGTCTGTACGCAACGTTACCCTCGACAATAATACATTTATTATTTAAGTATTAAATGGAAATTTAGAATACTTTTTTTATTGTTAAAAACTTGTGTAAAATTATTTTATTTTGCGTATTGTGTAGACTCGGCTTAAAATGACAAGATAAAGAATGAGATTTCGTTTCGTTATCATTATCAGTTGATAGTGTAAGCCTAAGTGTACAAGGTAGTACGATTGCTAATGGCTCGGTTGTTTCCCGTCCCTACGTGTTGCTTGCTATTGCCTTACGTATGGGATTCACCATGCTGCGTATCGGTCCCCTGCGATTGTCTCAAGTTCTTTCGCAATTTGCAGGTGGAATTGGAGAAACTCAACGCCGCCACAGACGAGATCAATAAACTGGAGTTGGAGCTTGATGTGAGTTTATTATCATTTATATTTAGATATAAATAAATTAATAATAAAATAAGAACAAAAAAAAACTGCCACGACAAATTTACTAATGGAATGGTGCACTCGCTTACGCTTGGTTTACGCTAGTGGGTCATCAGTATTGGTTTTTAAGATGAGTATGAGGTGAAGTTGCTTCCAGAGGGAATTGCGTGAAGATCAACCTGAGATGGTCCATTGCTCATTAGTGTTCATTAGTCCACATTGCTAATAATCCCATTTCTCCCGGGGAATTGCGTGAAGATCAACCTGAGATGGTCCATTGCTCATTAGTGTTCATTAGTCCACATTACTAATAATCCCATTTCTCCCGGGGAATTGCGTGAAGATCAACCTGAGATGGTCCATTGCTCATTAGTGTTCATTACTCCACATTGCTAATAATCCCATTTCTCCCGGGGAATTGCGTGAAGATCAACCTGATATGGTCCATTGCTCATTAGTGTTCATTAGTGCACATTGCTAATAATCCCATTTCTCCCGAGGAATTGCGTGAAGATCAACCTGATATGGTCCATTGCTCATTAGTGTTCATTAGTCCACATTGCTAATAATCCCATTTCTCCCGGGGAATTGCGTGAAGATCAACCTGAGATGGTCCATTGCTCATTAGTGTTCATTAGTCCACATTGCTAATAATCCCATTTCTCCCGGGGAATTGCGTGAAGATCAACCTGAGATGGTCCATTGCTCATTAGTGTTCATTACTCCACATTGCTAATAATCCCATTTCTCCCGGGGAATTGCGTGAAGATCAACCTGATATGGTCCATTGCTCATTAGTGTTCATTAGTGCACATTGCTAATAATCCCATTTCTCCCGAGGAATTGCGTGAAGATCAACCTGAGATGGTCCATTGCTCATTAGTGTTCATTAGTCCACATTGCTAATAATCCCATTTCTCCCGGGGAATTGCGTGAAGATCAACCTGAGATGGTCCATTGCTCATTAGTGTTCATTACTCCACATTGCTAATAATCCCATTTCTCCCGGGGAATTGCGTGAAGATCAACCTGATATGGTCCATTGCTCATTAGTGTTCATTAGTCCACATTACTAATAATCCCATTTCTCCCGGGGAATTGCTTGAAGATCAACTTGAGATGGTCCATTGCTCATTAGTGTTCATTAGTCCACATTGCTAATAATCCCATTTCTCCCGGGGTATTGCTTGAAGATCAACTTGAGATGGTCCATTGCTCATTAGTGTTCATTAGTCCACATTACTAATAATCCCATATCTCCTCTGTAACGACAGTCATCCCAGATAGAATAATCGGAGATATTATCTTCTGTCTATATTGTGATGACAACAACACTTGACATTCTATTACCTAATGGATTTATATTCTTTTGTTTAATACCACTGCTATTAGCATGTGTGAGATCACATATATTCATTGCGGAAATTTGACCACGCTACTGGAAGCGTTATGACCTTCCCTTTTAATGATCGCATTCCGACCAAACTATATCCAAACTCTATTCATTGCCTTATAGTACCTCGTTCAGAGGCAAATTACTTGTCGCAATATGAGTGTAGACCCAATAAAGGTCGGAGTTTGAACAATTATAGGGAAGATCATAACTCTTCCAGTAGCGGTGGTTTGGTTTCTGCTATGAATATTTGTGTTCCTGAATAGTAGTGGAATTAATAAAATAATATAAATCTATTAAAAAAAATAACACCTAAACCTTATTTACTTGATATGCTCTCATTTCGCTCGGTATACTGGAATCGAGCATGGCAGGGGACGACCCTACCGCTGTCTGTCAGACTGCATTCAATCTCAGAGTTTACTATTATGTAGTAAGAATATTCATAAGCCGTCACATATGTGCTCAAGAAACTTGATTCTTCCCTCAGGCAATGTGATATTTGTTATGATGATCACATGGGTACTTGCAGTTGGGATGTTATTCTAGATAATCTAATTGTAGCTATTCATGTAAATTGGACTCAATTGAACGTCTACACTAGTCATAAAAAACTTTATTTACATGGCATAAATATATCTGTAAATTAGAAGAACTTTTTCAACCGAATTGAAAAAGTGAGAATGATGTCAAGTAAACTATTTCTATTAAGGCTATATATATAATTATATGTACAATAAATACCATACGCCGTATGAGTTATTTTACACCTAATTACTGATTATTTTGATAATTCTTTTCACAATGGATACAAAGAATTTGTTTAAATGTTCTGAATAGACTCGGTTGTAGACTTGTTACTACTAGATTTCAAATAAAAATTGATTCACGTAAATAAATTCTTATCTTAATTAATATAGACGTAAATAAATAATTAAAAAAAGTAGTACTTAGAACTATCTGCTTTTAATTATGTCAGTTGATTAGTTACAAATTAGTTTCCGTAATAATAATTATTATAGTTTTCAAATTACAGAATTTTAATATTTTCTACATTCACTTTTTTAATGACATCTAATTTGGTTTTACAGCGATCCAAACTTACGCGATATAAAAATAAAAATTGTAATATTTAGTTATTTAAATATCTATGATAAATGATTAGTGTTTATCAATGTTTTATTAAAACACGTCAACATTGTTCGTTAAATAATCCTTTAAAGCTCTAACATAGTTAGTTCTTTTTATTGTAATTCAGAACTAATATGTAATTGTTTTTATCCGTGTACCCATAAGAAAGGCTTTACTTTTCGAAGTCGAGTCACAATGTGAAAAATCCTGGTATCTCTAATAAACTCGTATCACAGTGTTTGTAACACAATTCGTCCGAAACGGCTCGACCGATACTTAAGAAATTTTGTATGTATATTCTGTAGGTTTGGGAATAGGACGTAAACTATTATTCATACGCCTAAGTAATAGGGGTCGTCCACCACAATAATTTTTTTTTATAAATTGTCGTTAAAAATTATATGCTATTCTAAATTTTCACCCTTCTATCACCAACCCCTATTTTTTAATAGCGATATTAATTTATATGCCAAAACAACGTTCGCCGAGTTAGCTAACATGTATATAAAATAGGTTGAGGTAGGTACTGCAGTATTCTTTGTACGCAGAGAAGGCATAAATCATTCACAAACCACTGAAACGTAGCAAGGTCTCGACGGCGATCAATTTAATGTGTAACATCGATTGTACTCGGACCATTTCACTATAATATAACCTTCTGCATCGCAAATAGAATAACAAGCTTCTTAATATACACTCAAATGGTCAAATTACTTAATGGCTTTAAATTACCAAGACCTCTGTGTCTTAGTAATTTAAAGCCTATACTATTACTTAAGTAAACGTACTTACTACATACCATTACAGGTACACACATACAACATTGCTATATACTTATATATTTCAGGACAATTCACACAGCGCCATCTAGTCACAAGCTAAGCAGAGCTTGTGTTATGGGTACATAGAAAACACCCAGACCGATACAAACAATCATACTCATGAATACAAATATTTGTACCGTGCGAGGAATCGAACCCACGACCATCGGATAGTAAAGCGGTGTGCTAAACCACTAGACCACCGAGGCTCTCAAAGGAATATATGTATTTACTTTGAATATATATATTTACTATACTTACCTAAGATGTTACCATATTCTTATTGTATAAACCTGTATAAAACCGCACTACCGAGGAGTAACTTCTGGCTTAGTTCAGTTCCCAGGTTCGTAAAATCACTAATTGTGTATGAAAATTATTTAATACCTGTATTGCGATTTTGGCTAAATAAGTTTATTATTGTTATTATCCAGCTGATCAACGTCATATTAGTAGGTATATAGAATTATTAAAAATCTTTATGCAAATAATACTTTTTGCCACGCTCAAATACTGTGGGACCTTCCAGCAATGGTTTTTCTATCCGATGCTATATTAAAACCTTCAAGAAAAGAGCTTATTCCTTCTTAAAAGGTCGGCATCGCACATTTCCCCTAGTGTTGCGGACGCTCATGGGCGGCGTTAATTACTTGCCATCAGGTGAGCCGCAAGGTTTGTCCCGTAAGTTAAAAATAAACTCAATATATTAGCACTTTTGAGTAGTCATAATTTTTTTATTTTACTACTCATTCAGGACTTTCAATCGTATATAGCTGATGGTATAAGGACTAACTTCGGCTACTTTTATCGTAGAAATTATATTTATTCCAATTGAAGGCTGCTATGGTCTAGCGGTTTAGCATACCGCTTCACTTTTGGTTTTTGCGGGTTCGATTCCTCGCACGGTGCAAACATTTGTATTCATATGATTGTTTATATCGGTCTGAGAGTTTTCTATGTAAATTAAATAAGAAACGTCTAAGTATTTATACAACTTGTCTAGTACCCATAACACAAGCTCTAAATACTATTATCCAGAGGTATTATTTTTATTATTTATTCCAATTCCACGCAGACGAAAGTGCGGTTATTTTTTACTAATATATATGAAATACGAGATATTTCAAATGTGCCCGTCATATGCCAACGTCAGCGAGGATTACGTCCCGTCTAAAAGGATAATATATTCCGCTGACCCGCCAACTTGGAGGGCGGACGAAATATTTATGAGTAATACATCTCTGATGAGGTAAATAGGATATCGCTGCCAACCCTACTCATATTGGCAAAGATATGATCCAATTTGATATTACTCGCTACTCTAGACGAAACTCAATCAGAGTCAGTGTATACTTTTTGTTTTAATCTTATATAATTTCTTGTAATGATGCGTGGAGAAAGAAAATGTATGTTATTTTACGTTGCTGTATCTGTAACGGTCTCGGTGGTCTAGCGGTTTAGCACACCGCTTTACTTCGGATGGTCGCGGATTCGATTTACCTATTTGTATATATTCGCCCTAACTTCGCAAAGTTACAAAAGTTGTAACGGTATCTTATAACAAATCTTTGAATTTCTCGTCCTTTTTGTACTATTATATATATAGGTATACATATAAATTAAATTAGAGTGTCTGT